CAATGTAGATAAAAAATTGTGTTGTCATTTGTAAGTACAAAACACGCGTATTAAACCCCAAACTAAAGAGCACAGAAAATACTTAACTAATTGATCTTTAAAATTGTAGAACACATTGCTATGCCCATTTTGTCCAATTATCCTAAGACCACAAACGACCAGACGTTACGAAATTTAAGGAACAAAATAAAAACAATTTGTTAGCACTGGGCGAATAACAGACAAAAAACACGAACAAAATAGTTGCGTCAAAATTCGATAAATCTAAACATGACTTAGACAATGACCCTAAATGTAAGTTTTTCAGATGGAAGCAACGTGAAACTGCAAATTGATCCCTCCACAATCCCAACATGCTCTATAAAATCTCTTGTTTTTCCATGTTCCATTAATTTTTTGCCATGTCTTTTGATCACTCGAACCACATACACAACTCCTTTAAACAGCAAGCAAACATTGCTAGTGTCATGAATTTTGTTCTTAATATGTGACTTCCAAAAGATCATTGGAACATGCTGCAAAATGCAAGGGTATTAAATTGAATAAGTATCCCATAATTATTTTAGTAAATTACTAAGTGATTGCATTATATTACAAAGAGGAGTTAAGCAGGTTACCAAACGTGCGCGCTCAACATGTTTTTTCTTCATGTGCAATGAGAACCGATACTACGAGCGCCTTTCAATGGCATTATATGTCCCTACCGTCACTGTGAACGTCGTCATGGCTGTGCGTTCGAAAAAAACCGTGTACTGCCTACGGATGTCCTCAAAACGAACAAATAGTTCCCAACCATCAGCAAAGTAGAGGTGGTTATTCACCGATTTCATGGTAACCTCATAACTGCATCCTTCTTTGGTCGTCAAAGTACAAAGTAGCGATACATGGCTTTTATAATGCTCGTGCATAACGTTAGGCAACAACTCCGACAATTGGGAGCATATTTTTTTTAAGATAAGAAGAAAGGATAGTTGTTTAAGGAGACAAATATGTCTGATAAAAGATATTTTTAAGCATTATCCATATGCGACATAAATATTACCAGCGCGGTCTTTTGCGAATTCAGAATAACTTTTGAGAAAGTATCCATGTTGTTTACCTCCCCTGTCAGACACAAACAAATTGAATTTGTAAATATAGCATGGCACAATGATCTGTAAATCCCAAAACAATATTAAGCGCAAAAATGCACATAATCAACATACATGACCTTAAAAAGAAAGACATCAATGAAAACACTGAAGATTCGACACAACAAAAAAAAGCACAAAGAAATACCATTCAATTTAAGTAATAGACAGAATCTGAATAACGATGTAATTAAGCACAACGAAGTACCATTCAATTTAAGCACAACAAAATAAGCACAACATACATGTTTTTTTTACCCTGTTTTAGATAACCAAAGTACTCATTGAACAACCAAAGTCTTGATTCAGAACAGGCACGCATAGTAAAGTATGCAACTGCACAAAAAAACAATTTGAAATTTTGCACACTAATGTCCCCAAAGTTCTAATGTCATCGGATATTCTTAGATCATAACTTTTGCGCACAACTAATTTTGCAAGACACTGAATTTGATGGCCTCGAAGATGAAAGAAATTTCTTACTAAGAAAAAAAAGAAGGATAATAAAACGACTATGAATAATCAATGTCTATGTTAAGAATGTTTATTGTTTAATAGAGCAATATTATCAAAAACTGATAATATTACAAGAAACCTCAATTATAGAACTTCCATGAACCCAAAAACAATCAGGAACTAATAGCTCGATGTTAATGTTGACAGTGAAAATGTACTTTCTTAAAAAAACAAATAATAAAGAAAAAATAACTTCCTTGTAACTGATGGTAGGCGAAAATAGGAGAGGAATTACAACAATAATCGCAGTTACTTAATCCATAAGAGGACCTATGTGTTTGAAACCAATTCCAAAATACATAATCTCCGTAACGATAAATGCAACTGCAATGTACATGAAATGAAACTCAACATATAAATGGAAAAAAAAAATATTTACCTTTTACATACACTCAATTTTTTGTAAACATTTATTTAAACCCTAGGTGCAACAGTCTATCCATATTTGATTATCGAGAAATCGTTGTTCTACGCTTTAATGAAAATGCTTTGAACCACAAAATGCAGAGAAAAAGATATGTGAGGCAGGATCTGAAGTTTACTCACCGATAATGTTGTGCTTGCTAAAGATGATTTTTTTGGGAGCGGTGAATTGCGAGAATAGAGCAGCAAATGCGGGTTGTTTGTGTGTGTTTTGATTCTATGTTTTTATTTTAGGGGTGTAGAAGCAGACAATAATTTTTGGGCTGGATATTTTGAGAAATATGGGCAAGGACTATTTGGGCCGACTATTTGAAAAAAAATTTAACATTGTTGAAAGTTTAATTTAGGTTTGTAAATAGATTTGGGAACCGAGTCACAACAACAATTGGTGCCACTCACAATTCCATTGACAATCACTTTCTAATGTATATGGAAATTTCCAAAATTAAAGGTGACACGAAAACTATGGTCCTTGCCATGTTTACTCATACTTAAATTTCTAAAGAAAATGTATTAAACAAACCGTTGGTTGTTAGAAAAAAATTTGTTTAATGTGTCTAACATACCGCATTTATAAGTTTATGATCCTTCCCATGTTTACTCATACTTAAATTTCTAAAGAAAATGTATTAAACTAACGTTGGTTTGTTATCAAAAAAATCTATTTAATGTGTCCAACAAAACTCATTTATAAGTTGTCCAACGAAAAATCATTGTAGTGGAAAGTTTGTCTTAACAGGTAAAAGCAATTTCGTTGCACTAACGCTGGCCCAAACACTTACTACGATTTTTACAAAACATTGTTCCAAACACTTAGTACCATTCTTATAAAACGGGCCCTGGCAGTACACATAGGCAAAATAGTACCAAAGCATGAACTCAACAAAAGAGCCTTAAACGCACAGAGAGCGATGGCTACCATCGAAAGAGTAAGGTCATATTCTAGAACCTGGTAAACACCCCAGTCCGAAGGGGGTTAATTGGTTCTAGAATAATATCCCCTACACAACAAAAGGTTATCACAAAAGGTGCATAAGCATACTTGCCAACTATGTACGTAGTCTAATACAAAATAGAGTAGTAAACTTCGCGGCCTAGGTGATGGTCAATCACTTGATTGTGCATGCTTTTTTCACCGCACCACCCACTATCTGCTGCTCGGTGAGAACTTTCTTTGTAGGATAGGTGCCGCCGCACTCGTCGTGCTGCAGATCATCCACATTCTTCATGTCGCTCTTATCAACGTTGAAGTCGAGGACACACCCAATGAGCGGCTCACATGCAAGATCATCATCTTTGCCCATAGTTTCGCTAGCCACTGCCTCAATGTACGCCTTAGAATTTGGCGCATGTAGTTCTGTATCTTCCGCAGCCTATATTTTACAGGTAAAACACTGATGTCAATTTTTTTCCATTAAATTTACGCCTCTATTATAGTTGCACAACAAAAAGTCCATAACATGAGCCTTTAGTGCCGACTCCTGGGTTACACATTCTTCTGAAACTGGAAGTATATAGTCAGACAATTCAGCATCCATAACCTGAGCCTTTAGTGGCCACTCCTCTATTATAGTGCCATTTGCCTGAAAATATCGAACAAAGGCCACCACATGAGCCCCCTTCATATCGGCCCTAATCTTCTCTACCAAATCCATACCCTGCACATTTAAATTATTTTGGTTCAGAATAAAGTGCACCACAACTATCTATTCTGACCATGTGTCCAGCTAAGATAATATAAAACCATCTACACTTCGCACGCGGAAGCCTTTTTAGAATCACTAATTACCTGTGCATCCGCATCCTCAAGCGTGCTGCAGTATGGCTGATAAGCTTTTCACCGTCTTGCCCATAGACAATAGATGCAATGGTACCAGTTGCTTCCTCAATGGTTATTGGAATCCTAGCCCTGCAACAAATAGTTGTGTATTATTTTTGGGTGCTGAAAATTATTATGTTCAATCTTGTGTAACAGGCCATGGCAAGTGGCCATCGTCACTATCTGGCTCTCCCTGTTGCAAGAGCTGCACCTTATTTCAGAGGTGATGGGCAGGTCGAATTTTTTCAAGCAAAGCATGCATGTGCCAAACCACAATGGATGTTCTACATAGCCCAGACTAACTGAACCTTGTATCCATGCAGTCCGAATCTATGGTGTGCAAGATCGAAAAATAATATGAGGAGGAAGTATGCACAACTTACTTGTGAAAATGACACTATGTACCTTGTTATTAGGGTTGAGAAGCGTGCCAACGGTCTTGAGGTCCTCAGCTTTTGGTGGCGGCAACAAAATTGCGACGTTCTTGTATGCTTCAGTTGCAATGAGCTCTGACACAACTGGTTTGTTTTGCAAGTACCTGGATTTATTATCCACATATGGTAAGTCTTAGAATGTTTGATGGTTGCTATCTCACAAATACAATTTAAAATCTACTGACCACTGTTTTAGGTTGGCAGCAGCAGGTGTGGGCGGATTGATGAGAACAGAACTGGCCGCTCTAGTAGACAACGAAAGGCCATGGAATGTTGTCACTTTGACTCGCATAGCCACAACAACATTTCCCGCATTAATGGTTTCAGCCATCTACGAGCCTTCGTTCTCGCCAAAGGCATCTACATAGTAAGTATCATTGGCATCATCCTACAACCATAGAAGTATTGTTGGTGACAGTAGCATAGGAAAAAAAAAAAACGATATGTAAAGGATAAGACTCACTCTTGATTGACCAACACAACGTCTCTGTTGACCGCGTCAATCTCAATGTCTTTCAGTTTAAAAGCGTGCACCACGACACCCTGAATATCTACACAACAACACACCATCATACAATATTGAGTAAAAATGCGGCAGAGACACCAACAGGAAATATTTTAACAATGTAGCATTTAGGACTTGATTTCTATAATTTATAAAATGTAAGACCACATACTCTATAGATCTTCAGTGTCCACAAACCTATGCAAATTCCCAACCTTTTCACACTCAATGTGACAGTCAAGTTCGTCCAGCATGTCATCGTCACAAGGTTGAATCAAAGTGCGGTTGGTGATTGTCCATGAGAACTGATAAGAGCCAATATGATATTTCGGGTCTGCCTTGTTTAGGGTAGCCCCGGAGACATAGTATCTCTTATAGAGCTGCAGCAGTGGCAAAGACTCCCAAATATTATTGTTATACGCCACTGCCGCAACTTGCGTGCCCTGAAAAAGAACAGACAGTCATGTTAACTCAAATATAACATGTTACAGCAGAAATGATCCATAAACAAAATTGAGGCCTGCATCATGCATTATGTATATTACCTCAGAGTCCACAAACTTAAACCGACGGTACGAAATTGATGTATCCCTTTAACTAATAAGTATGTTTCCTCACTCAACAACTTGAATTAATGATGTCTATGCTCTCACATTCTCGTCAATCTGCGCAATTTGCATGGTATTCTTCATTGTAACCTAAAAATTTGAACAAACATGATCCAATGAATCAGCAGACCAATTTTTTTTTAGAAAAAACAAGAATGTGGAACTAATAAGTGAGAGCAAAGAAATACTTCACTATGCCAAACTAATTTGACTGTTGCTTCATTAACAAGTCTGCGTTTTTTGTTTTTTTCAAATATGGAAGCACATTGTATTGCAAAAAAAAATGCAGGATGCTATTTTCCTACCAAGTTTTTCTTCTATGGATTTGGTTGTGTGATTGCTTAAACTACCCTACTATATATAGCCCGTAAATTGACGCACAATAGTGTTTAAGAGAAGGAAAAAAGTGTCATTGTTGTGTAAGTACATACCACCCATGCCCGAAGATCTTCCCTTTTCTACCCACCCTACTTCCACACTAAACCTTAGGGATGGCAGCGGTTCGGTTTCGGTTCGGATATCCGCGGTTTTTGGTTCTACGGTTTTCGGTTTTGGTTCTCAAATTTCACCCACGGTTTTGCGGTTTCGGGTACCCG